TGAACATTGGGGTCCATAGGTGTATCAATGGGTTTACAGCCTAACATGCCAGTCTCATCTAGGATATCCAGTGCATACTTCCTCTGACAGATGGAAATGCCCCGCCTAGACTGTGCAACTTCGATCCCCAAGAAATATCGAAGTCTGCCAAGATCTTTGGTATGAAATTGATTGAATAAATGCTCTTTCAACTGATCAATCCTGGTCTGATCACTGCCTGTAATGATAATGTCATCAACATAGACCAGGAGATAAACGCACTGGCCAGAAGAGCTATGCCGGTAAAAGACAGAATGATCGACTTTGCTTCTGATTAATCCAAAGGATTCAACAACTGAACTAAAGCGGCTAAACCAGGCCCGAGGAGATTGCTTCAGGCCATATAAAGATTTCTGAAGTTTACATATCATTCCAGAACTCTCCCCCTGAGCAACAAAACCTGGTGGTTGCTCCATATAAACTTCTTCCTGCAAGTCACCATGTAGAAAAGCATTCTTAATATCAAGTTGGAGAAGGGACCAGTGATGAATTGCGGCAAGGGCAAGAAACAGGCGAACAGAAGCCATATTAGCAACAGGAGAAAAGGTATCCCCATAATCAAGACCAAAGATCTGTGTGTATCCCTTGGCCACTAAGCGAGCTTTAAGGCGATCAACAGTGCCATCAGGACCAACTTTAACTGTGAACACCCATCGACAACCAACAACAGACTTCCCGGGAGGAGCACGAACAAGATCCCAAGTTCCATTGGAGTGAAGTGCCTGCATTTCATCAAGCATCGCCTGGCGCCACCCTGGATGAGATAGTGCTTCACCTGTGGTTTTAGGGATGGAAACAGAAGAGAGACTAAAAACAAAAGTAAAATGTTGTGAATAAAGTCTGTCATAACTGAAGAAAGAATAAAGGGAATGAGGATTTCGAGTGGATCGAATACCTTTCCGAAGAGCAATGGGAGGAGTCTCTGATGGAGGATCCGGAGGAGAAGAGCCGACGGGAAAGGGCGATGAGTCATCAAGAGGCAAAGTCGGAGGAGGTGCAGGCTGACGACGCTGGTATGTGAGGAGAGGACGATCTGCAGGTATGGAGGTAATTGGTTGCTCCTCTGGAATAGGGTCACCTGCAGCTGGTAAAGACAAGTCAAGAAAAGGAACAGGAAGGACCTGATCAACTTGGGACACTGGAGACGGAGTAGAGTGAAAAGGCTGCTGATCAAGGAAAGTGACATCAGCAGAAACGATATAACGCTTGAGATCAGGAGAATAACAATGATACCCTTTTTGAAAACGTGTATACCCAAGGAAAATACATTTGAAGGCCTTGGATGTCAACTTGTCTTTACCTGGAGTAAGATCATGAACAAAACAAGTACAGCCAAAAATATGTAAAGGCAGAGGATAAGAAGATGCTCCAGAAAACAAAATACTGTGGGGAACACCATTATTTAGCACAGAAGAGGGCATGCGGTTGATAAGGAAACATGAGGTGATAATAGCATCTGCCCAAAAACGGAGTGGGACGTTTATATGAATGAGAAGGGTACGTGCAGTTTCAACTAGATGTCTATTTTTACGTTCAACGACTCCATTTTGTTGTGGAGTGTGGGGACAGGTAGTCTGGTGTATCGTCCCTTGTGTATCCAGAAATTTAGAAAATTCAAGAGACACATACTCTTTTGCATTATCACTGCGCAATATTTGAATAGAAGCACCAAATTGAGTTTTTATTTCTGCATAAAAGTTTTGATAAATTGAAAATAACTCAGAACGATTTTTCATTAAATAAACCCAAGTGCAACGAGAGAAATTATCAATAAAGGTGACAAAATACTGAAAACCCAAAACAGACGTTGTTTGACTCGGACCCCAAATATCAGAATGAACAATAGAAAAATGAGCATCAACTCTTTTATTGACTCTATTAGCAAAGGAAGAGCGAGTGTGTTTTCCTTGCTGACAAGAATGACAGTTTAAAGACTTTAGATTGGATAAAAAGGGAACCATATGCTGAAGCTTGGAGAGGTTTGGATGACCCAGACGGCTGTGAATTAGCTCAGGAGACTCTGTGAGAGAACAGGCTACTGGAGAAGGTGGTGCAATCAGATAGTAGAGACCTCGTGACTCAACGCCTGCTCCAATCGTCTTCCCCGTACCCGAATCCTGCATAGAAAAGGATTGTTTAGAGAAGGTAATAGTACATGAAAGAGAATGAATCAACTGGCTAACAAAGATTAAATTAAAAGGAATGCCAGGTATATAATAAACAGAACACAAAGTTAAAAGGGGAGTTGGATTGGCTTCCCCAATTCCACGAGCAGGAGCCTTAGTGCCATCAACAAGAGTGACAGGGGGTAGGTTATTAGAATAAGAAAGTGAAGTGAAGAGATCTTTATTACCACAAAAATGATGAGTAGCACCTGAGTCTATTATCCAGGGTCCAAGAGATGATTGATAAAAACAAGCAACATGATTACCAGTGTCTTGAGTAGGATGCTGAGAAGAAACCTTCTTGAGAAGTGCCTCATAGTCGGCACTTGAAAGAGTTACTAATCCAGTTGAAGGTGGCGTAACATCAGTTTCAGCAAATTTGGCAGACGATGGCTTCAAATGAGGGTACTTCCTATAGCAGCATTCTTCAAAATGCCCAAGATTCTGGCAATAATTGCAACGAGGCCTCTGTCTGCGGCCACGTCTGCGACCGCGTCCACTGTTCCAATTGGAATCACTGGCCCGAGAAAAGAATGGAGATGGGGTAGTACCGGAGATGATGCCAGTCATGTTTTTGGACGCATTATTTGAGCCCTCCATCACAAAATAAAAGGAGATGACCAGAAAATAGCAAAGAACTAAGAAAGCAAGAAATAGCGCAAAAACGTTGCACAAAAGTGTCCAAACAACGGGTTTTTCACTGATATCTTTCAAACGGATGGGACCCACAACGAACGAAGACCAGATCTGGAAAGAGGGTGAGGAGGCGAGCAAGATGGTGGTGATCCGGCCTGGAATGGTGGCCGGACGACGGCTCACGCGCCGGAATAGTGGTTCGGCCGCCGGAGACTTCCACCGGCGCGTGGCGGCGCGTGGATGCTCCGATCAACACGCGGCTTGGACAGACAGGGTCGCCTCCCTGAGCCGCTCCTGATCGCGTGGTGGTTGGTCGAAAAAGTCGCCGGAAAAGCAGTCTGACGACGGTGAACAGTGGCGGACGGTGGTTTTGTGGCGGTTTCCGGCGATGAACGGAGGCTGACGATTTTTTTCCTGATGATACGAGGTTTAGGACAAGAAATTTGTGACTAAATAAGGGTTAGGTGTGAAAGGATGGTTGTCGGTATGATGCACGACAGTAAAAAGAAAGGAAAAGATATATATGCGGAAGCAGAGCCCTCAGATCGAGAGCTCTGATACCAAATTGAATCTGAAATATATTGTATATTCAAGTGTGTAAGTCTGTACAAGGAGGCTTGATGTGCCTCTGGCATATATGGTTTTCCAAGACAAAATCATTAGATTTTAAGTCTATTTGTAGATGTTTTTACACATAGTTATTTTATGTTTTGATTTTTATTATCTCAGTTTTATTTCTCACTTTTTATTTATTTTTATATAGGTTTTATCAAGAAAATACAAAAAAATCCAAAAAAGAGAAAAACTGATCGTGTCATGGGCCATTTTCCAGAGAAGCCAAGCTATATCGCGTGGACCATCGCGTGGTACCGCGTGGCCAACCCAGAATTTCCAGATCAGGCTATTATACATTGACCAGAGTGCCCACGCGATACAGCGCAGGATCCCGCGCTCCATCGCGCGGGAAGTACGAAAGTTGCGAATTTATGAGGGTATTTTTGGAAAAGTGGAAGAAATGAGATAAAGGTTATGCTCCTTTGGTGTTTGGCAGACACACACGGGGGGAGACTAGGTTTTGGAGAGTATTTCGGAGAGAATTCATTCTTCTTCATCTTTTTTGGATCTAATTTCTGTTTTATGTTGGATTCTTGTATAGCTACCATGTCTTTGGCTAGCTAAACTCTTTTGTTGTGGTTAGGGTCACAAGCCCTTGTCAACCCCTGATACGATGGATTGAGTTTTTATATTTTTATATATATCTTTTATATTTCGTTTCTACTCTGATCGTATTGATATCATTTTTATTAGAATTGATCAATCTAGTAGTTAATGGTAATTTGGGGATTAGGGCCAACAAGAGGAATCTGCGGCTTTCAATCTAGAAAGGGGGTAGAACGATGGTATGAATGCGTTCTAGGGATAGACGTATTTGGTATTGCAGACGTTTAATTTATCGATCTCTATGCTTAATTTTATATAGAGCACCTCAAGGAATTAGGGCTCCATATGGGATTAAAGGGTTAATTCATCAAGGAATTGAGGGTTGACTATTGATATTTTATCTGATAAATTGTCTGATTATATTTATATATATTGGTATTTGAAATCAATCCGGAGTAAAAGGCGGGGATCATCGGTGAGTGTTCTCCAACTACAGCGTTTTCTCTCATATTCTCTAAACTTTTTTCCTGTGTTAATTTCAATTAATAGAAAATCAAAAATACTTGTTAAATTGCAATTCAATTTCTACACAAATCCTGACATTCGTGTCAAAACGTCTTGAATCTTTTCATTTTAAAAGGATAGATTTTTTTCTGATATTAGTTACACTCCTTGTGGGTTCGATCTTTCCGTATTACTATATTACTTGCGCGATCGGTACACTTGCCGAATAACGTCAAGTTTTTGGCGCCGTTGCCGGGGAGTGGCATTTTAATATCAATTAATCTTGATTTTTAAGATTGAAAATTGTGAATATTTTGATTTTGATTTTTAATTTTTGTTTTTGTTACTGTGCTACTAATTCTTTTTCTGAGTTGTATGCAAGGCAGCGTTTTTCTAAGGAGAAGTGCACGAATTGCTCAGAGGGAGAGATAGAGAGCACAGGCAACCGGTACTTCATCAATTGACAATACAGCCGTACCATTCGAGATACCAGAGATGGCTGCTCCTAATCAGAATGCAGATCCACGCATGAATACTATCCTCACACCTGTTTTTAACAGGCCAAATGCTGGCATTGTTCCACCTGACCTTGGGAACAATCAATGGGAGCTCAAGTCCAATATTATTCAGCTCGCTGAAAGAGAAAAATATGGAGGAGAGGATGATGAAGATCCGCATAGATTTGTTGATAGATTTTTAAGAATCTGTGATTCCACAAAGCCTCCACATGTTTCAGATGATGCCATACGGTTGAGACTTTTTCCTTTTGCTGTTAAGGGAAAAGCTCTTGATTGGATGGAAAGACAACCTGCTGAAAGCATTCTTACTTGGGAAAATTTGTCTGAGAAATTCTTTGCAGAATTCTTTCCCATGGAAAAATACAATAACATGGTGAATGATATCACATCATTTAAACAACATCTGGGAGAGACCATTTGTGCTTCTTGGAATAGATTTAAGGCTCTCATGAGAAAGGTTCCTCATTATAACCTATCTCAAGGCGATCAGGTGCGGATTTTCTTCAATGGGTGTCTGCCTGAAACCAAATTGGTTGTGAATACTGCAGCAGGAGGTTCTTTGGGAGACAAACTAGCATCTGAGTCATATAAGCTGATTGACAAATTGGCTAAGAATGAGAATGAGACAACCTCAAGGCTGGGAAATAGAGGAGTGGTGCCATTAAGTGATCATGATGCAGTCTTGGCTGAGCAAAAATTATTGTCTCAGCAGATGACTAATTTCAATACCAAATTTGAGAGGATGCAGCTTTCTAAAGTTCAAGCCAATGATGTTAATGTTGAATGTGAATACTGCCATGAGAATCATGATACTAATGCTTGTCCAACACTGATGTCTTCAGATTCTTCTCAACAACTGCAAGTAAATGGTGTTTGGTATGATCAGCGTCCTAACCAGCAAAATTACCAAAGAAGGAGTTATCAAGGCACTGGTTTAGATATGAAATCTGATAATTATTTGAAGCCACCACCTATTCCACGAAGAGAGCCTTCTGATTTGGAGCGGTTAGTTGGATTTTTGGCACAAAGTACTAATGCTTTCATGGAAGAGAGTAGAGCTAATCAAAGAAGTACCAATGCTTTCATCGAGGAGAGTAGAGCTGATGCCAGGAATACCAAAGCTTCAATTAAGAACCTGGAAAATCAGATTGGTCAGCTTGCCCAACAATTGTCTGACAGAGCACCAGGTACATTTCCTGGAAATACTATCACTGATCCTAAGGAAGGTTGTATGGCTATCACCACCAGAAGTGGTAAAGTGGTGGCATCTCCCCCAAAGCCTATTATGATGAAGGAGGAGGATGAGAAAGTTGAAGAGGTAGAGAAATTTGAAAAAGAAGCTGAGAGTTCTCCAAAAGTAGTGAAGCCTGTTGTTGCTGGTAAACAGAAAGACCAACCTGTTGTTTCAAAAGAGAAGTTTGAGCTTAATGAGGAATATCTTATGAAAATGGCACCTTACCCTGGAAGGTTGAAGCCAGAGCTGAAAGCAAAAAGCTATGACAGGTTTCTTGACATTTTTAAGAAGTTGCATGTGAACATTCCATTTGCTGAAGCATTGGCTAGTATGCCAAATTATGCAAAGTTCATGAAGGACCTTCTCTCCAGAAAGCACAAGCTGCAAGAATGTCAGACAGTTGCACTTACTGAAGAGTACAGTGCCATCATTACTAGAAAGTTCCCTCCTAAGCTTCGTGATCCTGGAAGCTTTAACATTGAAATTGAAATTGGTGAAACAAAGGTTGGCAAGGCCTTATGTGATTTGGGGCAAGCATTAATTTGATGCCTTTATCTGTCTGTAAAGCCTTAGGGATTACTGAATTGAAGCCTACTTTGATTTCTCTTCAGCTTGCTGATAGGTCCCTAAGGAAGCCCAGTGGTATTATCGAAGATGTTCTTGTGAAAGTTGACAAGTTCATTTTCCCTGCTGATTTTGTTGTGCTTGATATGGAAGTTGAAAATGAAATGCCCCTTCTTTTGGGTAGACCTTTGTTGGACATTTTGCAAGTGCACTAGTCGTACAAGTAATAAAATGATGAGGAAAGATCGTTCTCACGAGGAATTGTGTTCAAGCACCAATAAACCATAGAAAATTAATTTGAATCCGATAAGAATTTGAAAAAGTCATGAATAAATTGTCACCAGAAAATTGATTGTAAGTAATTTGACACAAATTAAATATGGATTAAGAATTAATAAAACAACAAGTAGTCAGAAAACAACTTTCCTCCATAATAACCCATGTAAAAACTGATCATATGATGAATTCTTTTCCATGTGATGTTAATCAACCTTTTACTTATCATCAAGATGTAATCCCTTACTACCCTGATAGATACATTAATCAGAAACCCCAATCCCTTGGTGATCTCTTTCTTAGTACATGCATGAAATACTAAAGTCTTAAGATTACATCAGAACTCTAGAATCAATCCCTTGAGTACTAGAATTCTGATGTTGAGATTATCAGATACAGAAGTCATATAAACATCCCTGTTCTACACTACTTCCTTGATAGAAATAATTAAATCAGAAAATCTCAAATCAACACATGAAAAATACTTCATCATATTAATCAGATCAACATAATATTATCATGGAGTTCTATTGCATTCAGACTACAAAGACTCTACTCAGACATGACTAAGGAATGGACAAGAGAAGAAGAATCAAACTTCATTTCCATGTTGAAAGCCTTCAATCTCCAAACTATTACAAAGAAATCCTAATAAAAAAACTAAAACACTAAGAGAATTTAGAGAGAAGTCAGACTAAAGTTTAAGAGAGAGAGGGAAAATTCCAGATCTTCTACTAAGTGTGAAGGCTTTGCCTTTTATAGTGTTACAATTAAAAACAGAAAATTGATGTGGGCGCTAAAACGTCCATAAGTGACCGTTTTAGCGTCCATGCTTTACGTATGCTCAACTGCTTTTAACTGACAAAAACGCTAAAACGTTAAAGAATGACCGTTTTAGCGTCCAAACTTGGTGGATGCTCAACTGACTTTAACTCACTCCAACGCTAAAACTCTTGATTTGGACGTTTTAGCGGTGGAGACCAGAGTCCTTTTTCCACTTCAGGGCGCTAAAACGCTTATTGCACGCCGTTTTAGCGCCCAAGACCAGCAATTTTCCATCTTCTAAGTGCAGCAGCGCGCTAAAACGCTCTGTGTGGGCGTTTTAGCGCTCATCACCAGCAAGTTTTGGCCTCTTCCTGTAGCAGGGTGCTAAAACGCTCAGTGTGGACGTTTTAGCGCTCAACACTTAGGCAATTTTTCTCCTCTTGAGCTCCAGAATCTTCTTCCTTCTCCAGTTTCCTTTCAAGCTTGCTTTTCCTACAAGAATCATACAAATTTCCAATAAAGCTCTTGAACTTGTAATTGAGGACATCTTAGGACATTAACCTTGTTTTTCATCATTTAATCACACAATTTGATCCTAATTCCTGCTAAAAACCATGATGAACTAAGGGTTCATCACAATTCCCAGATTTGAATATTGCTGTCCTCAGCAATAACTTTAAAGACAGAGAAAGACTTGAGATTCTTTACACATGAAATTTATGAGGTTGGATTGAAATATGACAGATCAACTTTCCAAGATACAATCTAACAACCCAGCAATCTATCTTTTACTATGACTTGCTTAACCTCAGCACATGACTTTCAACAGATCAGTAAGATGAAATGCAGAGACCTTCAACACAAAACACCCCCTCACTCGGAACTTCTCAAAAATTGTGAGAATAAACTCTTTTGCACTCTAGTGTCTAAGGGTGTAGTCATCACTCAATCTCCATTGCACTCAAACTACTATAAGCTTGCCCATCTTCTCACTTTCCATAGTGACAGTGATTCATAAGCAGAACAAAAGAGGCTTTGGTGGTATGACTTAACTAGGGATAAGATTCTGTATAGGAGAAGGAAAATGGCTTGGCACGTAGTTGGCTGAAGGTAGGATTTGATGTTGCAGAAGGTTAGATAGATGAATCAGATTCAGATAAGAGGAGGATCACTATTGAATTTATCTATGTACTCCTTAATCCTTCTCATTCTCTTCTTCCTTTTCATTTACTCTTTTCACCACCTTTTCTACAACTTTTCTTTTTCTTGAACTTCCTTCCTCCTTTTCTTCCAACTTTCAACACTTTGTGTTGTTTTGATTTCCATTTTTCCTCATTTCCTTTTTCTTTTCCTTTTCCAAACCAAGCACTTTGTGCCTTTACTTCCTTTTTCCTTTTCATTCTTCTTTTTCTCCAAATTTCCAACACTTAACACTTAATATTTTTATTCATTGCAGAAACACCTTTCTCCAACAGAGCTTTCATCCTTTACCCCTTATCTGAACACATAATCTGAAAACTTAGGATCTGGAATAAGTGCAGGGCCCTTAGTTTTATCACAACAAGTTTAGGCTTAAGGCTTCCATGCAATAGGAAAATTTGGTTCAAAAGAAAAATGCCTCAATGAACTCTACTTTACAAACCATGAACTATTTCAAGTTAGAAACAGGGCAAGTTCTAGAGTTACTCATACAGTGAAGTGCTCTTTGAACAAAAAAAATTTCTGTATAGGCTCTATGTCTCACAATTCAGAGTGCATGCTTGAATTCCTCTATATACATCAGACTGATCTCTCTACTCCTCAAATAGCTTGAGTCATGCAAACATATCATTTAGCACACATGCAAGGATTTCAAATTGCATCAAAAAATTTTGATCAATCATGTAAACCTTTGATCATCCTATCCTCATAAAATTCACATCATCTCAACTCTAAATCCAACCTTTGTACATATACAACACTACCTAAACTACCTAAAACTACATTCACAATAATTTAAAAGAAAGGATTGAGATGTTTCCCTGTTTGTGGCTCATCAACTGTGTGTCATCATCAACTGTGTGATATCACCATGGAATTTTGCAATCATGTCATTCATTCACACCCCATTCCCAGATTTAAACGTTGCTGTCCCCAGCAACTAATTTAAATCTAAAAAGCAGTTGACAAGTTCTAAAACACATTCACATATCAACAAATAGCATCAGTACTATTTCAAAAGTGCATCATCCAAACAGAGAATCTCAATGTACTAACAAATGTACAAAATTAAAAATAATACCAAAAGTAACTAAAAATATCCAAAATAAAACCATAAAAACAGAAAATGTGTAAAAACAAAATGAGGAGTCTAGTCAGTAGACTCCTCATCATCAGTAAACATCAATTATGAGCCTCGATCAGCAGTAGGCAAGGGGTTGTACTCAGGATTAATACCCCTGTCCTCATCCATGGCACCAGTATCAGCAGGTGGATCAGCAGCAGCAGCAGTGGTCTCTGTGGTAGTGGCATCAACACCAGGTTGTCTCTCTGAAGTGTGTGCAGCATGCGAAGATGTAGCACCATCAGCAGGCGCAGCTCCATCCACATGATCAACATAGTGAGTCCGGGCAATTGCCTCAAAGGCTTCCTCCTCATCAGAATGAGGGTAAACAGCAGGCTGGTAATCAATAACATCTAAGCCCTGAGCCTCACATATAGATTTCATCATCTTCACCATATATGTCTGAAATGAGTGCTGGCTGGACTGCATAAACCGGAGACGCCTGCGCAAATGTCTCATACGGAAGTCAGTATTCACCATCCATTGCTCCCCTGACTGTAGCCTCTCTTCTAACTCATCATCACTCTCAGCTGTAGACTTCCTACCAGGGGTCAATCCTGTGGCCTCCCCTCCTCTTATCTTCAATTGCTTTCTTATCATTGCGGCATCAATTGTAGGGTGCAATTTAGTTGGTGCCCCATTATCAGTAACATCTACACCGGCTTTCTGACAAAGCAGCTGAATCAAGGAACAGTGACCCAAAGCAGCAGAGTCACTGTCAGAGTGAGCCATATCATAAATGCTGTCCTGAAGAAGAATAGAAAGTTCCACCTTCGCCTTGGTCATGATAGTGTGAATCAGGACAGCTCTCTTCAGGATGACCTCTGCCTGGTTGGAAGAGGGCATGACATTTAAGATTACAAAGTGAAACCAGACTCTAGCCTCACCATTCAAATGCCTCAACCAAATCAACTAAGGATCAACCTTATCTTTGGTTGGCTCCCAAGTTTCACCAGGTTTGGCTATAGTCTGCAAAATGGGCTCAGCTGCCCCCATCTTGGTCTAGGTTTCAAAGTCTGGATCACTTCTCCTTGGTGGAATTTCAATTTTCTGCCAGTTCTTCCTGAACTCACAACTGGCATTATTGACATAGTCACAGAACCTTATCTTCAGCAGCTTTTGGATGGTGTAAGCATCGTACTTCACTTTCTTTCCCCTCACCCAGCTAGTGAAGGTCCTCCTGCTTCCTTGATCTCCATTAAACGCATTAGCAAAGAATTCCCTTGCTATGTTGGGGCTGCTATCACCCAATATTTTCTAAAAGTTACCCAATCCCTGGTCTTCAGCTGAGACTGAAACTGAGGATATTCATCCTTTTCCAGGACGAATTTTCTTTCTCTCACAAATGGCCTCTTGGAAGTCTTGTCAGTATAACGTTTCTCATGTTCTTCACTCTTCTAGAAATGAGCATCAAATTGTGGGGTAGGCTCAGCCGCAGTATCTCCTCCTTGATCCACTCAGGCTCGCTTCTTATATCTCTTCTTCCCCTGTGTAGAGGGAGCTGGTTGAGAAGAAGAAGACATTGTGCCTACACAAACAAGAGAAAATCAGTCCAAATGTCAAACAATTACATATCATGAATCCAATTCCACAATTCCCAGATTTAGAACTCTTGTAG